GCATACATTGCGTCGCTTTCGTGCACTCGCCCGAAAATTCCCTAACTGCCGTTCTTTCAATGTTAAACTCGTTCAACCCCCCTTTCCAGCTCTTTTTTGTCCCTTTGTATTTCTTTTTGTTCATCGTTTGTTGCGCTTTTTTCGTTGTTATTGCTTTATTCTAGAGTAGTTCTATCAATTCCCGTCAAAAAAGGGTACCCTAAATTTATCGTGTACGGTGCCTTTGAGAGTAATTTACTGGAAACGCTGTGTAAATTATCTAGCACATTAATTAAAATGCAAGAAGCAGAGCGTTTGGGGTTTGTGTGATTTCGTAATCCCCACAGTAACCTCAGAAGTCATCAAGCATTCGCTGCTGTCCTACTGGCCTAAAAAGAACACAGGAAAGGATAATGATATGGTTTTTTGAATCTACCAAAGCAAAACGTCATTATTTCAAGGAACTGAAAAAATCCTAGCCTTCAGAAGTTAAGGAATTCAAAAAACTGGGAATACACCGGCGGGTATCAACGGAGGCGTTAGGACCTTCGGGGAGCATCGACCGTGACACACAGACGTTCGTCCCTCGTCTTTGAAAACATTCTCCAATGAACTCTCGGAACAGTAAAGTTCCAGACAGGTCTTCATTCCCCCGATTGACTGGGCGCTTTGATCTATGAGATCCTACTTTCAAAGAAGTACATCGTAAGGAACAGAAACTAGTAATCCCGTTGTTATGACTTACAGAATCTAGTCACGCACAAGTATTTCGGTACACAAGACGGATAAGAATGAATAACAATGAATAATAGTAAATAATAACAAAACAATGAAGCACGCCACATCTTTGGAACACAGTCAAAATCCTGGTGCTTTTGCCATAATAGCAGGATTTCAGTGTGCTTTGTATCATATTTCGAACTTATACAAGAAATTAGGAAAAATATCTCAATTTTCCAGTGTTACAAAGTTTTCAGTGATCCGCGGCAACTCAGTTAAGTTCCCATTTCAGGTTGATTGTACGGTATTTGGCACCCTTGCCACAACACTGTACCATCCTGCTGCCACTTATGCCAAAGATTTGCTCAAAGAGGAATATCCAACCCTCGTCGCTTATTTGGATCGAATCAGAGATCAGGTCTTCGGTGAAGAATTTGAAAAGCACTGAACTTCGTTCTGCCCACAGCGTATAATAATTTCTTTTCGCTTTCCTGAAGAGCTTCATTTTGTTGTGTTGTTCAGAGTTGGCTGTTACAGTTTTCCATTTTTGTCGGCTTCATTTTGTTTTCATTGTATCAAATAAAAAGTTGAAGTAGAAACTACGAATTTCGGATTCAAAATCCCGATTGAGTACAACGACAGCAGACTCTTAATATTGCATTTTACCCAAATTACCAGTCATCTTCAGAAATTCGATATACCATGTGAAGCAGGCCAATGATCATAAGCATTCGAATGACTTTTTGACCCGCTAGGTGGAACAATGTTACAACTAACAATGGTCATTATAATGTTGATTGGCTTACATTGTTTGCTGAGTTGTTAACTAAAATGGAAAAATCTCAACCCTATCAAAACGTTTTGATCAACCTCATAAAAGGAAAAGATCTATTGTTCAATAAATCTCACTTTCGAATATAAAAAGTTGAAATAATTCGATTGCAAGGTATTAAGGAGCTACTTCAGGAAGAACACCTCTGCAGCAGGTAGTGTAGCTACCACCGTTATGAGAAAGGTAGATTCCTCCCTCTCTCGTTTACAAATGAAACCTAAAGTTAATCAGAAGTGAGCCTGTGAAACTTTATGTCCATCTAGGGTGTGGAGCATGCAGTAGTCAAAACCTCCATCTCAGATTGGTGCTAGCCTAATGGGACATCCGAAAAGCCGACTTGGGCGTGGATCTGTGGCTAATGGCGAACGCATATTCAAATGCCGCTGCGTTTCTGAATTGGAATCATATGCGAGGCTCATTCCAGTGATGTTGACTGACCCGAACCCCCTTTGTAATATTTCTCTCTGCCTGGCTAACAAAAGGTAGAGCTTCTTAGAGTCTGGTCTAGTTGTTGGTCGCACGTGCGCATCGACGGATGGTCGATGGAAAGGCGGAGCATCAGGCAAGCGGTCAGACAGGAAGGAACACTGGCCCTCTCGCTGCACCAGCTGCTGCCATTACCAACCCTTCTGCCTTCTGCCATTCCCGAAAATGTTTTTGACTTTGTTCTTCGGTGTATTTTTAGTAGCCGCTGGTATTCTGGCATACTACTTTCTCAATAAAAAGGGAATAAAACAGGTGATTCAGCTCTTTTCGACGGTAGAATGTATTTACGGTTCTTTTCTCGGAAACAGCGCCCGTCTTTGGATTCTGACGAAACGGAGCTGATAAGGTTCATTGTAGATCGACTATTAGACTGTTCTCAGAGGTTACATCAAATTGAAGAATTGCTGGAGAATCTTCGTGCTTTTAGAACTGCATTTAACACCAGGGCTTCTCAGTAGGATTTTAGTGGCTGTTACCTCTCTGTAAACTTCTATAGAGATTGCTCTCTATTTTACTAAGCAGTAAGCTTCAAAAACTACTGCTAACACATAAAAATTTCACCAGGAACTAGTAGATTTTGGAAAACCAGGTTTTAGAGAAGCAATTTTAGTTGCTCTTTACCAGTTATTATCATTTGTCCTTTTCCTTTTCTTTCTCATACAATCACCCACGTTTTGGACCCTTCAAGAAGGGGTAGAAGCAATATGTTCCTCGACTTCTTGTCTCAGCTTCATTCACCACTGCACAATACCGAATGAACCCTATGCCAGCATTCTCCCACCGATGCTACAACGACTAGAGGNGGCAGAGTGATGACGAAGCGTCTAGACCGAGTCCCCCGAGCAGTCCTTCGCGATTCTCTTTTTACTAGTAATGGGGAAAGTGAGCAATCGATAGTCGCCGTGAATTGAATGTTTACAACAGTAACGGAACCAGTTCTGCCTTACAAATGAATCACCCAAAATAGAATGGATAGGTTGTGTTTAGGTAGCTTTGTCGAGCATTTTAGCATTTTAGAAGAATAAGGAAACAACGGAGTAGATAACCTACCGGCTGATATAAAAAAAACTGCTCTAGTGACCATTAATTTCACTTTTTTCAATACCACTTCGGTTCCACTGCATCATTCCATTTCCGTTCAGTCTCCACAAAGCAGAGCCCAATCTGAAACATGTGGATAGGCCGTTTACAGAGTTTCCGATGCAGTAGCGGAGAAGTGTAACAGCGAACACGATTGTTTCAGTGATGAAATTACAGTTTCCTTGGATCTTCCTTGAAAGAAGTACCGTAAACCCAATTTCCTAGTTTTACTATCTGCTCTGATCGTCTATCTTCTTCTCATCACACTTGTTAGGTGACAGGTAGAGGCCGACGAAACGACTCGCCAAGTAAGCGCACACAGAAGAGCATGGTCCTCATCACAACTTTGCTACATCACGACCCACTGAGGGACTTTAAGGGCACATTTTTTCGATAATGATGGATCCAGAAGTGTTTATAGTAAAATTCTGTGGCTTCTGAAAACGCCAAATGGGTCTGTTGGATCAGAGTGCTGTCTGAATAGGGCACGATGAAAGCTCAAAACTGATCTCGACACCCAATGCTGCTCAGCTGTCCCGCGGGAGGACGTGTTTAGCTGCCTTGGAACGGGTGATATCTTTTGAAATAGAGCACATTTTTTTTCGCAGATGCAGTCAGATGATACGCGTTAACATAGATTGCTCTGTAGCAAGAGAAATCTCGTCCAATTGTCGTCGAGTACCTCGTCCAACTCCAAAAATGAATTATCTCGCTTCATCTTTGTGCTAGATTTCCTGTTTTCTACGCCATGATGAGTTGGGCATCAGTATTTTCACCCTGTAGCCCATAAAGATGAGATTACCGCGTTCTGTGGAACGTTCGGAACTTGGACCAAGAAGTGTTGTTTGAACGACTACTTCGAGGAACGGCGGCAAGCCACCTCTAATGATAGAGTTTCCCTTAAAGGCACTGTTCACAAAAAAATGGTGTCGGAGATCTGCACGTGGTTTGAATTCGACTCCCCCTCTGATACCATTTGTGCAGGAATGAGGTCGGAAAACGGTCTGGATAGGGCACAATAAGGGCAGGAACAGTGGGGGACAGGAGGCCTCCGCCCCTCGCTAGGCTGACTACGAAATCTAATTGCTGTTCATCACTTTCGCATTGGAGCAAAGTTGTCTGCTTGGGTGTGTTGTCTGCTATTGCAGACATTGCGTCGCCTTCCTGCACTCACTCGAACACTCCCTTAACCGCCGTTCCTCCAATGTGAAACTCGTCCAACCCTTCTTTCCAGTTCCTTTTTGGCCCTTTCTATTTCTTTTTGTTCATCGTTTTTTTTTTGCGCTTTTTTTGTTGTTATAGCTTT